AAAAAAAAAAAAAAAAGACTATTCAACTTATTATACCAGGCTGAATTTACTACTGGGTTGACCATAAGAAAATATAATACCAATATTCACACTTTTTGACCTGTAAAACAGCAACATCATATGGTTCCAACTGAAAGAATGAAGTGGGGGTTCATAATAAAGATGAGGTCACTTGAATTCCATTTTATTTCTTTGTACATTAAAGGAAAGTGACATTTCCTTGCTACATAAAGGAACGTGACAGAGGGTGCCTTTGGTCCACTTCTCCCAATCTACTTTCCCTTTTTCTCTCCACTCTATGGCCTGAAAAGCTGACCTGTACGGCTTATATTAACAGGCTCCTGCCCTCCATCTTTCTGTTGGAGATATTGGCAGGAGATGGGAAGAGAATGGAGTGACAGTGTTTATTCCCATTTCCCTTTCTGCAAGGTCACTTGGTGATATCCCCCACTATAGGACACTGGTCCTCTCTAGGCCACATTCTCCACAAGACTGTCTCCTGTGTAACCTCTTTCTCCTCTTATCCCTTCAGGCTTGGTATAAGCTCTTCCTCCACTATTATGGTCCCTGAGTACTGTGCTGCCTGTAGTTCTCTTATTCTGCCCAACTTTGTAAATTATCCTAATTTCACTGGGTCATTTGTTTCTTGCTGGGACCTAAAGTGATACAAAAGGGAACTAGAATATTTTATGTCATGCCTCTGCATCAAGCATTGAGCTAGACATTTTACCTGCATCATCTCATTCCATCTTCATAACAGACCAGTGAGACAGGTGTTATTATCCCCATTTTAAATATGAGAAAACTGATGCTCAACAAGCTTGACTTGCCCAAGGGTACAGAACTAGTGAATGAATCCGACTGATTGTATAGCCCATGCATGCTCTTGCCTCTAGGCCTAAATAAACTTCCAAGGCAGAGGATGCAGAAATTGATGTTTGAACTGAATTTTAAAGGGGGGAACTTTGCTGGGTAGACAATGGTAGAAAAGGAAGAAGATGTTAATATGAAGGAACCACAGGAATAAAGATATGAGAACTACCTTGAGTTGAACCCCAGGAAAATACCTATGACTCAGAGTCCTTTGTGTCCTTGTCAAATGATCAAATCTGCAAACAATCAGCAAATGCCAAGGTTCTGCTGCAATTTGGTGTAAGTGAGCTGTAGCATAGGCCCGACAGGGTGGCGAGGTGAGCACAGGCTGGATCAGATGAGGAAGGGCCTTGTGTGCCACGGTAAGGAGGGTGAACTTGGTCAGTGATCGATCAGCCAGGGTTGTGGCTACAAGCAACAGAAACCAGCCTGGCTAACATAAGCAGGAAAAGAACGTATTAGAAGGCTATGGGGTAGCTCCAAGAGCGAGGAAGATCTGAAGAACTACCACAGAATGTGGGCTCCATGAGAGCGGGGGCTTATCTGCCTTGTTTAACACAAAATCCCAGGAACCTCAAATAATATACAATAAATATTGAACGAATGGGAGGAAGAATGAACCAGGCTTCAGGGGAGACAAGAGCAAACACTGCTCAGGATCTAGAACAGAAAGTAAGAGACGGTCTCTTTAGGGTGAGACCCACCCATGAATGAGCTCCACCCACTTTCAGGTGTTGGGTCCCTCTTCTCAATTTTCAATTTCCCATGAGAGATCAATATATTGGCCTTTCTCGCATCACATGCCCCCTCTTTGGCTAATAGAAAGTTGGTGCTTTAACTGACAGTTCCACAAGGGGTATATGATAAGAGAGAGATAATTCTCCAAGGCAAAATCAGGAACCTCTTACCAGAAGAAGGGGAAATCAATGCTGGATTACAATTGCAAAGACGGTCCTTATACCCATCCCAACTGCAGCCAGTTTATTGAGGAGTCTCAACCCTCTAGCAGTATAAGTAGGAAAGAGATTCATTTCAGTAGATGTCCCCTAATTGTGTTGAGCCCCCTTTCCCACTGAGTAGTATACCCCTTAGTAACTCCTAGGACAGATTCTATACCTTTCTAGTCATTTTTGCTTATTAGAACACCCTTTTTAGTGTTTAAGGCTTACTCCTATTCACTTTACTCCAATTCCTAATATCAAACTTACACCAGTTTGGATTTAATTTTAAAAATGTTTATATGTGGCTACCACTGCAATAAATGCTGAGGACTCAGTCATTATCCTCATGGTAACTCAGGCTATCACTGAAGAAGACAAGGAAACAGTGAAAAAATTCAGCTGCAGAAGCTATGTTCAAGATGCAGAGCTTGGGTAGGGAAGGTGGAATGACTAGCTCCTTAGAAGGGGGGCAAGAGGGGGGGCAAGCAGAGGGGACAACTCTAAAAGTAGTAACATCTGAGCTGAATGAGCAGAGGTTAGCCAGGCATTCACACAGAGAAATGGATTCCAGGCCGAGTTGGTCAGGAGAACAAAACCACTCTGAGCATTAAGTTAAAATAACTCTTCACACAAATCCTCAGAACAGCTCAGAAAAACAAAAGGAGCAATGTCTCAAAAGCCATTTTGAGAGAATACAGGAATAGTTCTCATGTGATTATTTCTTTCATCGACTCCCTCAAAAGCCTAGAAAAGTGAAGCTCAAAAAAAGTACTTCAACAGGAAACCAGGTGAAGGAAAATTAGGTGCATTGTTTTCTTGTAACCTGACCCAGTTCTAGGAATGACGTGGGGTGTCTCCAAGCCCTTGCCCCTCTCTCTCTTTCACACTAGTCACTCATCTTAATTTTGCTTTCAGGAGAACTACAATCAAATTAAAATAAATAAAAGTGCTCCCCAGTGAGTGCCAGAAAGGCATTTGTTCAAGCGTGTTTCAAAATATAAAGAGTATTAGGCCCACGTGGCCCCATAACCTAAGCCAAGAGCAAAGATAGTTTCTTCTGTTCTTTTTCAAAACCATTTCCATTTATCTGGGGGCTGAGATGCTCAGGGTGATAGATGAAGAATGTTTGCCTAATGTGTCACATGGTGAAACGCTTAAACAGATTTTAAAAATTTTTTCCAATCTGACTAGTTGATCATAACGAGGATTATTTATGAGACAGAATTTTCCAATTTTGTATTTCCTTGGTTATATACAATCCTCATTAATATTTATGGACAATTCTCACATCATCTGCCAGATATAATAAAGACTTTTTAGCCCTTAAGACTAATAATGTCTTATTTAGTTTTATGTGACAATAAAGCTTATAAGAATATTGTTTTCTCAGACTTAAAATCTTCATTTATTGCATTTTCTTTATTGTGGTACTTACATGCATTTCAGCTGTTTAATATCTGCCTTCCCTTATTAGAATGTCATCTAGGGGAGTAGGGGTCTTGTCTCCTGTTACTCAATCTTTTAGAACAGAGCCTAGCCCATAGGAGAAGCTTAATAAATACCTATAATTCAGCTAAAGAACAGCTGTGGTAGAAATATAAGAGGTTGGCTGGTGGAGTCAGAAACCTGATGGAAATCCTAGTTCCACCACTAACTAGTATAAATTTGGGTGAGCAAGTAATATCTGGAAGCCTCAATTTCTTCATCTTTACTATGGGATAAAATACTTACTTCACTGGATAATTTATTGTTATGTGAAATAATGTGCCGAAAAAGCCTGTAGGAGATCAATAAAGACTAGTGGAATTGAAACCTTAAGCAGTGCTAAAATTATTATTACCTAAATATAGCCCCAGGGTGTCATAACCTAACAATTTAACATGGATAAAATGTTAGTTAGTACTAAGTTATCAGAAGAGTAGATCTCAAACTTCAGTGTGCTCAGACATCTTGTTAAAATGCAGATCTCTTGTCTGCACCCATGAAGACGTGGATTCATTAGGACTGGTGTGGAACCTGGGACTCTGCATTTCTAACAAGAACCTCTGGCATTTTGATGCAGGTGATCTATGGACCACACTTGGACAAAAAATGGAAATAAGGGCAACAGCATAATTTAAGATGCAAAAAAATTAGATTAAGAGGTTGGTAGCTTTATAGTCCACTTCTACCACAAAATATGGAGAATCAGAGGGTGAGGGATAGATGGAAACCAAGCAGGAAAGTGTTCACCAGCCTCCTAACTCACAGAGCTGTAGGATTCTGCTTGGATGGGAAGATTGTTCCAGGAATGAGGTCATCTGTGCTGCTGGGGTTATGACTGACCTAAAAATATTTCTAAGTGTTTTGATGTTAGAAAAGCCCCAAGTGTATTTCTGTCTCCCTCTCCCTGTGCTACCACTACCACAGATCAGTCTTAAAGCCATGTTTATTTCAAAATAAATCTAATCCATATGTTTGTCTCGTTTAGGCTTGAGTCAAAAGTGTTTTTAGTGTTAATTTATAAGCAAGAGAAGCCCCTTACCATGAGAGCAAAGAGGACTGAATCTACTTTTGGTAAGTACACTTTAACAATAAATATTCAGCATTGAGGAAGGGGAGCTAAAAATGGGGGGGAAATAGAAAGAAGGTAGCAATTCAAAGCAAGAAAGAGGGATTTTTCTATTGCTGCTTAATGTTCAAAGCAAACATCCTCCACTGCTTTGAACTCTTAATTTACTGCTCTCTTGAATCCATCCTTCCATATGGATGTATAAAAAAGGGCATATCCTGACCAAGAGTAAATTAGTTTTGATACCTCATCATAATACTTGTTATTTCATTAAGCTGGTTTTTTTTTAAATCAACTTTTTCATGCAAGAGACTTCCCTTTAATCACAGACAAGCCACAATGCTATTTATGTTTATTTCTTGAGGATAAGCCAAATACATTAGGGAAGTAGGACAGCTGTACTGTCCTGTAGGTCTGAATTTAGTCACTGCTGTTTTATAGTTCTTTTCACAATGAAAAGGTATCATAAGAGCTTTATAGACCAAAGACAACCAAAGGATTTTTGCCACCAGGGAGACAGTGCGTCCTTGTCCCAAGTGGTACTCTATCCTCCATGAGATTTGAAAAGCTGGAGAGAGAGCAGCACTAATCTGCCAAATCCTAGAATGGCCGGGAAATCTGCCTCCTGGTATAGCCAGGCTGCCTTGAGGAGGCAATGTAGTGAGGACAGCACAGGTTTGCACACCTGAGGTGCTAGGTTGAAATCTTCTCTCCTGTCTAACAATGTCCTTGAGTGAGATTCTAATCTCTTCGATTAGGTTCATCTATAATATGGGGGTGACAAGATCTTGCAGGGTTATTCTAAGTGATACAACAGTGACATACCAAGGGAAGTTTGAGAGCGGATATGCACCAAGTGCAGATGGAAAGGGGGTGCATTATCTATAGAAAATTTTAAAATAAAAACAAAACCAGCTAAAACGTAACCTGCTTTTCCTTACTATAATTTACAAACAATTCTAAAGAAACTCAGTGATTAAATCCTTCTTCCACTGCAACAGGCAATTCCCACTTCACCACTCCATCACCTTGGTATGAAGCTAGCTTAGTGATGGTGCACAGTAGGTCCTCAGGAAATGCTAATTCTCACTTAGATGAACATGGGGGCAAATCCGTGTGGAAAAATAGATCAAACATAAGAAAAGAGCCTTGATGCATGAATCGTACTACAGCTTGACTAAGCCCCAGTGAAGGATAGTGACAAATGACATTTAAATAATATTACAAAAGTGATATCTGTAAGCGAAGTGTTGACTGCCTTTACATGTTGTCTCTATTTTCACCCTACATTTATCTCCTTCACCCACAGGCATCAGTAAGAAATACGGATTTTATGATTTCTTGGGGGAAATGGAGATAGTTTACATCACACACAAAGTATTTCTCTCCAAAAATCCCCATTATACATCTCCAGTTCTCCAAAATTTCTCCTCAGCCACCATCCAAAGTGTTACTATCTGCCTTTATATCCTTCTTCATTTAACCTTCAAATCTCTTCAAGCTACAACATTGGCTCACAGATCTTTCCTCTGGGCTTCTCCATCTCTCTCTCCTTTAATCGAAGCAATTTAGGTCTATTCAGGTCCTTCATACTATCTTTATGTATGTATGAAAAAGGCCGGCAAATATTAGATCCTTCAGTCACCATGTGTTAAATTGAATTAACAGTATATACCAATAACAACAAAACAAACAGCAAAACCTTACTTTTTCTTGTTCACATTTGAAAATTTTTGCATTCTGCCTCTGTGATAGTTGACACCCAGAACTAACCTACCCGACAGAAAGAAAGTCACACCATTAACTTTATAATAAATCATCCAGTTGGATTTAATTAATAAAATGAATTCAAAACATCAAGTAGCCTCATGGCTGTTAAGTATCAGACTGGCATTTACTCAGTTCCCTGCTCTTCACACTCACCTTCTCAAAAGACAACCTGTAGAAAAACTATAAACATAAGCCAAATAAATCATTGCTTTTTTTTTTAAAGAAAAAAAAAGCCTCATGAAACGCACGCATTGATGAAACAGAAACAACATTGTAACAGAGTTGGGGGAAAAGATGAGGTAACCGTGTAGAGGTCAGTTAGTCCCATGCTCTCACTACACGAAGTCAGGGGTCATGGTTCCAAATAGTAGAAACTACTTCAGCAGAAAAATTATTTGAAGAAAACTAATGGATAGCCCATAGGATCAATGTAAAGACTGAAAAATAGGCAGGAGCCAAAAGAAGTCACCAACTGAGACACAGCCCTAATCAGGAGCTGTTTCAGGCTTTGCCACTGCAGGCGCCAAGGCTGTGCCCCCGCTGCAAGCACCACCGACTCTTAGTCCCATGACCACATAAATAAGCACTGCTGTGCCTGCCTCTCTGTGCCATGCCTTCAAGAGTCAAAGTCCTAGGGGAGTGCCCAACTGGACCAATCCTAGGTTACATTTCTGTAAGGCAAGAGCTCTCTCACCTTGTATGCATGTATGTCAAAGGGGTTCCTGCAGGGGTCCCAGACTGCAGTGTCAGAGAACTTCCAGGGTGGGGAGCAAGAGGCATGTGACACAGGCCCAGGGTGAGTTGCTGCCAGGCTGTACCTGCATGAAACTGGTCAAAGCCCACATCTACATCTACAGCCATTTTATTCTAACAGTGGTCAATGAGGCTGAGAGGATTCAAGTATAAAAAAGAAGGCCCTGTATTTTTTACTGGAACATAAGTGTCTTACCAAAACATCAAGGGTACCCATCACTTCCTTTCCTCAGGTCTTACCAGTATGATGTCATCAGTGTGTGGACCAGTATAATGTCCTGCTGAAAACAGCCAACGTCCCCGTAACACTCACTATAAAGTAGCATAAAATCATGATATTAGCATCACCTGAGGTAATTTAGCAAAAGTTTATTGCTATTCCTTCCAGGTTAAAGCCAATGTTTCCTGATATTTTTCTACAGATGGAATATTGGGGAGCAGTGACAGTTCAACTGTTAAATCCAGAAGCCAAGACAGAACCAATTTGTTCCAGGTAAGAAAACTATATTTAGGACAGCAGCTACAGTTGAAGTCACCTCCCAATTAAGTTATACAAATGTCTTTGTGAGTTATATCAATGTCTAACCACTATGCTACACACCTGGAACTAATATAATGTTGAATGTCAACTGTAGTTGAAATTTTAAAAAAATTTTAACATTAAGAAAACACATGGTTGGTCTCTAAAATCCTTCTGTTTTCAGCATTGTCCAAACAGGAGATTAAAAATGGGGATGTGTTAAGACATCCCCATTTTCACATCCTGTGGTGGTTCTAATACCTGTGGTTTCCCAAGAGATGTCGTATTGCTTTTGATTTATTTTTTTAGGGAAGTGAAACACCACATGCTTCCTCCGTTTGGTCTTTTAGACCATAATAGCCTTTTTTGTAAAAGTCTGGGAGCCAAAAAGAGGATTCTGTTATTTGCTAAGGATAGCTATTTAAACTACCACAGAGAAACTAGAAAATAACCATAAGATATAATAAGGGATCCACTGAGAGATCTCCTGGTTAAAAATCTATTTATCTCCAATGCTTGGGTCCCACAAACTGCCACTATGCTGGCATTCTGTGTCCCAGGTACCAGTGGTGTTTCAAAGTGAGTGCTCAATAGTTCCTAGAAGTTTGAGGTATTTGCCTCTTCTTATTGTGCAGTGACCATGGAAAATCTCTGCAAGTCCCTTTTGGGGACATTGAGAAGTAATCCTCATATGTATTTGTGATGTTATTCAAAGTTTCTTCCTTCAATGTACTTACCTCCTTTTCAAAGAGCTCTGGGTCTATGAAATGATTCATTTTAAAGATTAAAGGAATAGTCACAAATTTTTACATCATTGGCTCAATTCAGGCAAGGTCCTAAAGTACTGGGTCATCGGGAAAGTCATGATGTATTTTTGCATTGAAAAACATAGAAAAATACTTCATGACTTTCCCGATGACCCAATAAATCAGGCCCAAATTATTTTAATTATACCAAGCAGACCTTGGTGAATTAACTTTCAATTTAAATCTTTAGGACTCCATGATGAAATAGCCACATTAAAAGACCCCTATGAAAACAAAACAAAATTAGAAAGATCATGATATTTCATCCCTAAATACTTCCTCAAGCCCTCCTAAAAACAAAGGACATTATCTTACAATACCATCCATTATCACATCTAACAAAACTAACAATAATTCCTTAATATCATCTAATACCTAGTTCATCTTAAAGGTTCCTTACAACTAAAATCTTTTTACAGTTGGTTTATTATATTGTATTGTATTTACATTAAAATATAATACATGTTATATTAAAATACATTATGTAGACTTCTAGTTTCAGCTTAGAGATGTAGAGAGCTGGAAAAGCCTCACTCACATCTTTACAACAAGAAAAAAGCTGAACGGCAAATTACCAACTTTTCTTGAACCCATTGGACCATGAGATTACAGGGCAAACAAGTAATATGAAATCTGGGAGTGGCAGGTACCAGGAGAGAGAAATAGGATTCTAGCACTTGCTTAGGTGAGGCAGATGTTGCTGGAAGTTGTGTAAGTCAGTAAGAAGTTTCAGCTAGAAACCCAAAGAATAAAACAAATATCTGTGAGCCCATAGTGATACAAATAAATGATTAAATAAACAAGAGAGAAGGGACAGCTCTTCCTTACAGAAGAATTCCAATCAATAAATGGAGGAATGAAGGATAGAGTAAATCATTTTAGAACACCACACTAATAATTGTTACAGACAAGATTCACTAACGAATGATAACATTATGAGGCAAGCCTTATAGGGAAACAGAATAGTTACGTGGCCTCAAAGTGTCTTGTCCAAAAGACAGAGGCTGCCAAAACAATAGATACACATTTTAAGAAAGGAAAATACTATTAAAATTGTAATAATATATACCAATAACAAAAGATGAATACAAGTCACACTTGACTTCTGCAATTATAAGAGGTGCTCAAAGTGGTTACCATCAGCATCCAGACACTTCTGATTACAGCGAACTACTGCTTGAGCAACGCTGACCAAAGTGTCCACTTGTATACATTTTTTCGGCACCCCTAGCATGTGTTAATTACTGTGGTAGTTTTAACATACACCCACAAATTCTTTGAGAATCTGCCCCCAGGAGAGATTGATAAGTGCCCCTTGAGAACAGGCTGCACTCAGTAACTTACTTCTAAAGAACAAAGAATGAAAAGGATAATATAATAACTTTACAGTGGAGAAACCTAGAAGACACCACCACCTTAACCAAATGATCAAAATTAACATCAACAGTTAAAAAAATTCATGTTGATATCATGGACCCCTGACAACACAATGAGAAGAGTATTTAATTCTGTGATATATTTTCCAAAAATTCATAACTCCGGTCTAATCTTGAGAAAACATCAGACGAACTCAAACTTAGGAACATTCTACAAAATACCTGATCAGTACTATTCAAAATGTCAATGTCACAAGGAAAAGAAAATCCTTTTCTTGGAGTAGATTAAGACATGATAACTGAATGCAATGTAGTATTCTGGAAGAGGAAAAGGGTATTAGTTGTGGAATGACTGGTGACATCCAAATAAAATCTGTAATTTAGCTGGTAGCATTGTACCAAAGTTAGTTTAACTATACCATGATTATGTTAGACGCTCAAATTCGGGGTTGCATCTAAGATTATGATGACCAGTTTCCTTTGCCTTTCAGTGCTCCAGGACCTCAAAAGAGCTATACCAATGAGCAGAAGCACCGGGGACTCTTTCAGAGGCCATATAATATACAAGGTTGGACAATTAAGTTTGTGAACTTTCCACCATGTAAACACAAATCTTCAAAGTATATATCTTCAAAGCACAAATGTGTCCATACAATAAAAAAAGATCAGGAATTTGTTACTTCTCAAATTCTAAATGTTGGTTTTCTTCATACATTCCAATATTAACTTCAATGATACTGAGTTTTTCAGAACATGGCAAATCACAAACTGGGTTTTGTTGGCCCTTTCAACAGTTAAAAACCATAACTCTAAGTAATTGATCCCACATCAGTTTTACAGATATTAACAACAGATTAGAAAATGGACATGAGCAAAAGAAAGAAATTTAAAATTACAACTGATAAAAATCTTTTCACATCCATAAAAGTCATTCTACAACATCATTTTTCTGACTCCATTTTAGCTATTAAAGTTTGGCTAAATATGATTCGCAGGCAGGCAGAACATAATGTTTTAATGGCCAGTGGATTGACAGCTACATTTCAAATTGTTGATTATAGTAATAGCCAAAGTAATACTTGTAAGAGCAAAAATTAAATTCTGCTCTTCTAAGAGAAGAAATAAAATTCACAGAAAAAAATAATTTACTGCTAAGTACTTAATTAAGCAGAGTTTTAGCGATCTCTCAGGGCCTTCTCCAAGGCCACCTTAGCATAAATTCCCTCATTCCCATTAACTTCACCCTAACCCAGGAAATCCTATACTAAAAAAGTGTCACTAATGAATTAAAAAAAAATTTTTTTTAATTTATGTCTAATAGCTACATGGCTCTGTTACCATCCTCAATCAGATAATTAAATTCCAGCTGCTTGCATAAGCTAAATCCCAAATAAACATTTGTTGACTGATAAGTGAATGGCTAAGGAAGTTAAGAAAGAAAACCATGACCTGCTTTTGGCTGTACAGCTTGAAAAATTCAGGGACAAAGAGAAAGAATAGCCTTTCAGTATTTCTCTATCAGACTATGGTGGAAAGTTAATATGAGAGACTATGTGTATGGATTCTGCTTTGACCTTCAAAATAAAGATTGATTTTTCTTAACTGCAAGATAAAATAACAATATCAATAGTAGTGAGTCTAATAAAACTTGAAGCACAAGACAAGGCATATCTATAAGGGAAGCTTATGGCAATGGAGTGTCTCTTACTGAGGTTCATCTTTGGAAGCACATGCTCTGTTGGGCAAATCGCGACAAATTGTTCATGCTATCTAGAACAATTTAGGGTAGAGTACATGGAGGGTGTGATAGTCTATCATCACCTATCAGTGTACATCAGTGTACATAAACTGGGGATATATGATCCTCAAATATTATAAACTCATAAACCTTGTGTTAGATGTAGTCTTAGAACTTAATCATTCCAATGACCCAATTGAGGAATCCACTTAATACAATGCCTAGAAGATGATACTCACAGACGTCTCTGGAAAAAAAGGAAATGTATGTAAGGTTTAGCAGGGTGGAAAGAGCTGAAGACAGAGAAAGTAGAGCTCTTTTCCTATTTTCCCTGAGGAAACCAGCAGAGAATGGTAATAGGAATGAGATTCACAGTGAAAAATCTTTATAAAAAATGCAAACACCATTCATTCTTGGGAAAAGACAATGACAGTGAACTTCAAGATACCCCTCACTCCAGGATATGATCAGTTTCCCAAATACCTACACGGAAGGCCACCAAAGGGAAAAAATTTAGCTTATAAGCCATTTCATTCTCTTTTTCATTCTATTTAAATTATGAAACAGAGAAATACCCTAAAAGGGAAAAGGTGAAATAGGCTACTGAGGGGATGTGGCTAAACTCACTCACTCTGGAGATATTTGAAAACTGAACTGATTTAAGTGTAGCCTGAAGGCAAGAATGGCTGGATGACCTGTGCAAAACCCCAGTAGTCTGGTATCAAACACACTGCATCAGTGCTCTCACAGTGTCTTTCATGAGCCTAGGGAAAGATTCAGGAAGTTCAGTGACTTTAGAGGTCAAAGTTAAGGAGTCCAAGAATTATACAGCATCGCCAAGAATCTCAGCATTTATTAAGAGTTTTTAAGGATGGGTGAGCAACTTCATGAAAGACAGAGAAAAAGAAAATGCTTTAGTGCATACTCAAGTTCTTTTAAAACACTTTTGTAAACTTTTATATTCCTTTCTTGTTAGGTCTGAGATAGGATTTTAATTTATCTACAAACTAATTGATTAGCCTGCTATTGTTTCCTGGATTCTGGCAGAAGACACGAGATCTCTGGGATAGAGAAAAAGGACTTTATACATGGCACAGCGAGCAGTATGAGCATTAACACATTTGCATCAATTCCACTTGCCCTCCAAATCCCACAAAGGTAATACGGAGGGCCCAGATGGATGCCTGCACATAGTGGGTGGCACTATAGGACAGTAGAACTGTCCTATATAGCACTGAGCCTGGGGAACTCACCATTTCAGGGAAGCAAGAAGCAAACCTGTTCTTTGTCCCAGAGGGAGACATACTTCCATCTCTCAAGATTGTTCACTGCAAACAAACCCTGAGAAATGGCCTGGGTGTAAAGCGATGTTGGCCATGTATTCTTGGCATACTCAGCAAGATGTAAAGGATTACAGAATACCTATGGAAAACTCTCTCTCCCATTATTTCCTCTCACTCTCCTGTTCTTTTATCTAACCACCATCCCACCCCCCTTCTCTCCTGAAAGTGTGGGGAAAACTTTAGTGAATGAACTCAGAACCTTTCCACAGCCTAGCTCATCACATCTTTTAGGTCTGTGTCCTAAGAAGAAACCCCCAAACCCAGAGATTCCTTTACCATTTCAGATTCTGAAAAATACGTATCATCAACTCATAGGATATCTTCTACGACTACCAAGGTGGAAAGGTTGCTGTTCTTCCATCTCTTTACTTCCTTAAAGACTAGCCGCCCACAGTTTTAATCCACTCTCCTAATTTTCCTCTCTCTCCCTGTTGTCTCCACAGCACTAGAAACATCTTACACTGCTTGAATATACAGATCCCCCCAAAGATCCATTTTCTTAGTTCTGTTACTCATCAAGACACTCTATCTATAGGCATTCCTGAGAAAGATGAATTTCAGCAAGCAAAACACTAGGTTGCTAAAGCCTTATGGTTCCACCTCAGAATCAACAGTGACCCAATGCATCCTATATTCTGCCTGTTACAACCTTTATAAAACTGTTTGCAACAGCCATGACCCATGATGTCCACATCGTGGGGCAGGGAAAATTCCCACCAACCAGCCAAACTGCCACCCTCTTTTTCTTCACCCAGGAAAGCATAATGAAAGCAAGTAGAAATGATGTCATTATAGAGAAAAATCAGAATTCATTCTCATCCATTTGGTTAGAAAGTAAATCATTTGCAAGCTTGACCACCTTCACTACTAATGATGTTATTATTAAAGTGTTGGCAACCCCGCTCACAGCTGACTGCAGGCAGCACAGCAGTGAACACTGAGCTGCAATTAAGAACTATCGAAAGTGCAGCCAATATAAATTTCCATTAAAAACATTTCCTGACTTGATCAGTTTTGGCATCAGCATTTTTAAGTTAATTTGGAGAAAGTACTAAGAAACTGTTATTGAGTTTTTTTTTTAAGTTTTGGGGTCCTTTCAAGTATTGCTAAGAGAAGGGTTTGATTCTATTATAATAGTTTTTCACACACACACACACACACACACACACACTGTCTTGTGTAACCCTTACAGTTGAAAGAGAGATAGTTTATCATATTTGCTTGACTTCTTCACCAACCAGACACTTGTGCAATGCCTGTGGAAGGCAGAGGAGGAACAACCCTAGGAGAAGGCCCTCTTATACAATGTTTTTGGAAAAAAGTTAATTCAGCAAATAGGACCACTATTTCTCCTTGCTCTATATTGGGAAGCTCCCAAGTTTAGTCACTCAGCCACCCAAGAGGGTCTCTGTGCCCAGAGGCACACCGTGCACAGACCGATTGGCTGTCTCTGCTTCTCTGGCTTTCTCCATATCTAATGCTCTCTGATCTCTCTGATTTTAATATTCCCAGGTCACACTCATTACTTATGGGTCACGTAGAGGGAGGAGGGAGAACAGGTAGCATTCCCATGGGAAGAACGCCCTAAAGTGGAAGCTCCAGGGTTTATGCTGCCACTTATCAGGGTCTCACCACATGTGGGCACTGCACCAAGTGGTCTGTTAGCTTGGATTCCTTTAACTATCCATTAACCATTCATTTAACAGCAGTCCTCTGAATGTTTCCTGATAGATGATGACTCAGATGCTGAGAGGGTGTTAAAGGCTTCGTGCATGGACCTGAGTGTCAGCCTCCAGAACCCATGCTCTGTGCCTGGACTATGCATTGAAAGGTCCAAAGGTGGCCTAGGAGCTATCTTCTAGAACTTGAACCTCAAGAACATTGTCCATCTGCTCCTTCCGCTAAGGCTAAAACAAACAATATCAGCTTAAATTACACGGAAAGAAAGTTTGGTAAACAAGCTGATAAATGATCCACTGAAACAGGGAGCTGGGAAGAGGGTAGATACTCCATCCTTAAGGGCACCATATGGGCAACAGCAACTGCCCATCTTGGATTATTTAGGGAAAACATATGAAAGTTTTCTTCTTTCAAGGTCAACTGATGTAAAAGGAAAAATTGAATCAAGGAAATACTAATCAGAATGTCAACTATAATTAAATATGTATATGTATAGTCATGGGATGTAAAGTACAGCACAGGGAATATAGTCAATGGTATAGTAACAGCTATATATGATGTCAGAGGGGTAGTAGACTTGGGGGGCTTATCACTTTGTGAGGGGTACAAATATCTAATCATTATGTTGTTTTATACATCTGAGACTAATATAATTTAAAAAATAAAAGCAAAAAAAAAGGGGGGGGGGATACTAATTGCTAGGATTTAATGTAGTGGTTTTTGTGTGCCAGACTTTATTCAAGTGCTTTACATTAGGTAAGAAAACTAAAATCAGAAAAAGTGGAGCACAGTTTTTTCCTTAGAAAAATAAACATTCTCCTCAAACTATTTTTAAAATTACAAACAATACAACTCTATTTCACAACCACCATCAAAATACTACTTCAGCTCCATGGACAGTTT